TTTTTTTTTTTTTTTTTTTTTTTTTTTTTTTTTTTTTTTTTTTTTTTTCCCAACGATGGTGAAATAAAAATAGCTAGGTCCAGTGTACGGTGAGTAGCGTTGCAATTTACAGCTGCGCATCGAGGTTGAATGGGGACGGAACGCGATCGGATGAGATCGAGAGGTGGGCGGGTATGTATGTGTGAGCGCGTGTACACGCAGAGGTTAAAAAAAAAGAAAGAAAAAAAAGCAGAGAAAGGATGGGAAGAAGATAGGGAAAAGGCGTAAAAACGGATTCGAATCGTTGCTCTTTTGTTCCTAACTCGATAATCAATCTTTTACCTTGCATTCTTCGTGGTACCATTGTTGCAATGTCACGAGAAAGCCAAGAATGACCTTTACCTTTACCTTTACCTTTACCTCAAGCTCTACCTTTATTCTCTATCTTCACCTCGACTAACTACACCTTTACCTTTAGCTTTAGCTTTAGCTTTAACTTTGACGTTACGCGTATTTCTCCTATCCGGATAAGAACAACGATGATATACTTTCTCTTCGTAATAGAATACATACATGCACGCATACATGCATGTATACACGCGCATAAGATCGATCGGTGAAACGATCGAAATGTTACCAACGATAAACGTTCATCGTAGTAGTTGCAATTCTGTACGAAGACTTCTATCTGCATACGGTTTCGGTTAGATTAGGAAAGACTGCATATTTAGGAAAACTGCGTTTCATCGAAGTTACTATAACCTCGACACGAGATACGTTACATTCCCTGTAACGAATGTACTAATAATTTGCTTTTATACGAACTTACTAATTGGATTCCGGAATACCGTGAAAAAAGGAAAATGAAAAATGTTAATTTCCAATGACCTTTCGAATTATCGATAGCAGATTCTCTATGAAACAGCGAGTATATCGTTAAACAATACGGTTAGAATGGAAAAATATAAAGAAGGATAGATCGTTTTCGTTGCGATTCCTTTTGGTAACCTAATTTCAGAAAAAATCAGGCAATGCAAAATACTCATCTGCATATTCCATAAAGGATCGCGTGATCGCGTGTATTCGTTTCGAGGTAATTTGTTCAGCTTGTGCTTGGAGTATTTGCATGGAGAACAGAGTTGTTCTTCCAGCCAAACGGACATTTTCAAGATTTTGCGCCGAACCGATAGAATTGTTTGCTTGAAAAGCGATATCAATCGCGAGAAATAGAAAAGCAGAAGGATATAAAGTATCGAGAAGAATGCGGGGAAAGAAGGAAATGAAAAGGAAAAAGAGAAAAAGAGAAAAATAGATGATAGGAGAAAATTATGAAGAAATTGAATAATTTAATAATGTTACGAGAAAGAGTGCTGAGTAAGAAATTACGAGGAGACAAGATTTTTGGAAATCTTCCTTAAAACCGCTAATTCTTTCGAGAGTAAATCGATAAATAGATTTCGACGATAGAGTTGAAACGATGAAACGATGAAACGATGAAACGATGAAACGTCGGAACGACGGAACGATGGAATAGTGGAACAATAGAACGATTAACCTAGAAATAGATCGTAATTCAGCTGATGGTCGATGAAATGAAATTTAAGCAAATTTACGAGTATGTTTGCAGGACTGTATCGATCACGATCATCATCATAAACGTCGCCTAAACGTTTGTTACGTAGTTTACAAGAAAGTGAAGGAAGAAAATGGTCCGGTACGAAGGAAAAAATAAATGATCGCAAAGGAAAAAGGTAAAGAATATCGTACTATTCTGATCGCGACAATGACATGAAAAAGAAAATGTGAAGAAATATCGTGCGAGTACATGTGTATGTAAGGAAAATCAAGGCGCGAATAATCATCTTATCCGTTTTCGCAGTTTTCCATCGAAATGCTTTTCGTTTGTTTAAGACGATCAAGAAAAAGTTGAATCTTATCGAGATTCTGTACCATGATGTTATTTCGGATTAATTATTATTAAAGAACGAAAAGAGTGAGTAGCATTGACGTTGATCGTTAAATGTTGAACCATTGAAGACCGACCAGAAGAAACAAGCAAGAAAATAGATATCGAATTGATATATAGCCTTAATCGTTATTATCCGTAAAATGTGTAAATAAATGGTTTTATTTTCGTTAAAGATGGACGTTGCTCGTATGGAAAAAAAAAATAACGAACGTTGAAAGGCGGAGAGGCGAAACGTTTGAACCGATATAACGGAAGGACAAATACTCGGACGAGCGAAGGAACTGTAAGTTGCAAAAACAATGCGTAAACGCGATGCGATCCGTGAGCAGAAGAAGAAGAGGCAGAAAAGAGGGAAAAGAAGGAATGGAAAGAAGTGGGAGGAGCAAGAGGGAAAAGGAGAATGGGAAGAAGAAGTACCATGCAAACAGATAAACACTCGACGAGGCAGAAAACGGTTCGGTCGCTTTTGCGAAGGCGGAGCAGCAAAAGGAGGAGCGATGCAAGTGGTATATACGTGCGAGTATTGTCTTTGTTCTGAAAACGTCGATACCTTTGGTTGTTCCGAGCATCGTTCGTGGTATATCCAACGGTCGTATAAAGCAACCAAGGACGATCTTGATTCCGAGAAGAATGGCAGCGTTACGGGCAAAACATTTCGAACTTTCCAACGGCAATGCTGGAAACGAGAAGAAGTCGAGAATCGTCGAGATCGACGACTGCAAAACATTTCGAACTTTCCAACGGCAATGCTGGAAACGAGAAGAAGTCGAGAATCGTCGAGACCGACGACGACGAGAAGGAGGACGAAGAAGAAGAAGAAGAAGAAGAAGAAGAAGAAGAAAAGGAAGAAGAAGAGGAAGGAAAAGAACGGCGTAT